TTAAGTCGTATCTGCTTTACAATTTTGCGAAGGAGTCAACGAGGTTTGTAGCCAACCAGCCATTGTCGGTCTTGGACTTGGTGTTAGCCAAAGAGGAACTGATGGTGGAAACGATTTCCACTACAACTCCATTAGGGCGTAGTGATCATGCTGTTTTGATGTTTGACTATACTTGCTATGCATCCGTACGATAATTTCTACGGGTCACTGTTGTCTGTTTGTTGACTACGCCAAATTTCAGATTTTGGCGAGAGACTTCCAATGGAATTTCCCCAACGAACAGTGTGATCCCTTTGTATCCTAGCAAGAATTTACGAATCACCTCACGGAAATGGTGGAGGATGTGACAAAGATCAAACACATCACCTACTCAAATGGGTAAAAATCAATGATTAGAAGTCGAACAAAGAAGTGAAGGAATACCTTATGGAGATCTTATAAACGATTTCCTTGTAACAACACATGGTATACCTGCTGCCTACTTAGAAACCAATGCAACAAGTTGGCGCGAGAAGAGAAGTTGATGTATCAAAAAGTGTTGATGCCCAAGTTTATATCCAATCCCAAGCTGTTGTAAAAACACATAAATACCTTCAGAAAGTCAACTCTGGTTTTCCAACTCTAAGGTTGTCAGGAAGTATCTCAGTCAAGACAAAGGAGACAGCCGAAATGTAAACGAGCCAGTACGCTCAAGTTTTCACTGCACCTGCTAACATCGGACTACGTCTACCTCTGTTACTCGAAGACATAGCACATCCAACGCTAACCACAATTGATTTTCTCCCAGAAATCATGGTATAGAAACTGCTGTTTGAAAAGAAATTCATTTCCAGGGATAGATAACATCCATCCGCAAACCCTTTTCAACCTGGCAAATAACATAGCTCAACCATTAAAGGAACTACTCCGAGGCAAGTAAAGTCAAAAAACGCTTTATGCACCCAAAGGGTGAATTTTCAGCCATTTGCGATTTTTACAGTGGGTAGATAAAACCAATTGCAAACAAAAAAGACAATATAAGAAATTATACACTTTAGTAATTGAGAGAAAAAATAGTACACGAGTTTTTCCCTGATGTGGGTGAGAATAGTCTGACGATTAACCAGTAACCGAGCAAGGTGTGGAATTACACTGTTTCTATATGTGGAAGTACGCGCAGGAGTGAGTTGATATCTGTAGCAAGTTCGGGGATTTGACAGAGTTCTCGTGTTATCTTGGTGCAGACAGTGCCCTTGGTCACGTGTTATCCAACTTATGTTCGACAAAATTGTACTTCCTTAAACATGGAAACAAAAAATAATTTCACCAATATACAAAGGTGACTGTTGTAGTGACCCATCTAACTACCGCCTCGTTACTCTCCTCCTCGTATTATCCAAAGTCATAGAATCCATTGTTGCAGACATTGTGATGAGTCATTTGGAAAATATAATGTTTAATCCCCGGTGCAACATGGGTTTCGTCCCAGGCGATCGTGTACCACTAACCCGCTTTTTGTCCGAGAGGAATGGACAAAAGCAGTGGATGCAGTGGATGTCGTGTACCTCGACTTCTCCAAAACATTTGACCGAGTAAACCAAAAAATACTGCTGAGGAAACTATGAAAATCGGTGACTTTAACTGAGTTGGATAGAAACATTTCTTCGGTAACTCACCATGGGGGTTCGGGTCTCTGGGTCACTATCTACTCCCACCAGCGTTGCCCGAAGAGCTCCACAGAGATCCGTGTATAGCCCAACACTTTTTCTAGTTTTCATAAAGGGACATTCTGGGGCCACACACATTAATGTTTGCAAACGATGCAAAAGTATGGAAGACAAAAGTGACAAAACATGTACGAAACAAAGAAAATTTGTGACATTCCTTATCTTTCTATGAACCGTAAATCTATCCGTTTGTGCTAGATCCTATGGGAGAAGAAAAGCAACTGTCTGTACTTGAATTCTATTGGTATATATTTTCTTTAGTGAGTAATTTTGATCGCAATCTTTCTCCGCCTATGATTCTGTTATTTACTGACCATATATTAATGATCACATAAACTGCACTATGCACGTGTACACATGCAGCGAAATGATCCAGGGTACATTGTGCAAACCTGTTTTGGGCTTCTTTATTCAAATATATTTTCTTCACAATTTCCAACCGCGAGTTTCAGTCCTCCTCCTTTAACAGTTCTAATGATTTTTTTCTTGTTCTGTCGTTGTGCATTAAAAATATTTTACTATACGATTCCAAACCCTCTAGCTTCATCCTGAGCAGCTTTAAGGTTAACAACAGGGTTTGACTAGTACGCATCTCCATAATCACAACCGTATATTGCAAGACAGAAACTTTTCCCATTGCAAACAGCCGGTTGCAGTTGATTACCTTCCTCATTCATGCCTCCGATCGTACAGAGGAACGCACTTGCACCGTCACCTTGCAGTCTTTCCCTCTTTTCTCGGCTTGGTTTCCATTGGTCCTTTTTGGTGTAGTTGGCCATTGTATTATCTCTAATTTTTGCATTAGCTCTGTTGCCCCAACACTTCATTCTGGTCAGACAAGTCCGCTAATTAGTCTGGCTTCCACAAATCACCAGCGTTCCATCTTTCGCCTTTTATCTCAGCCGTTAAAGTAATGGAGATTAGTCTCCAGAAAAAAGCATGGTAACCCGCTGGCATATAAGTCATGCACTTGGTCCTTAGCCATCGACCATTATGTTGAGTTGCTTGCGTTTTGCATCTTCAACATATAACATGGTGCCACAGCGCTTTGTTGGCCCAGCCCCAAACCTCACTCTTTCCAGAAAGCAATAGAGAAAGTAGGCAAACTTGACTATTGCGGCAGCTCCATCTCACCTGATGGACTCATCACGGTTGAATCGTCGATATGCATACAGCGGACTCCGTTGGCATTTGCTAACTTGTGGCATCTCTGACGCCATCTTGACGTCTGGCTGTCTGTGAAGGGCCATTAAGAAAATAGGATAAAGATAACCTGGCGGTTTTTGAATACCGCTGTCTACGCAGTATGCACGAATCTGGTGGAGCAATGCTGAGGTTAGGCGCAGAGTTTTAGGTAACTGCGATCTCCCACTGGCGCAAGTTGTCGACTTCAAAAGATGACGTTGGTTGGGGCATGTGTAACGCAAGTCACCAAATATATGATGTGCGATATTTAATGAGGTAGATAGTGGGTGGAAAAAGTCAAGGATGGTCTAATTAAGACCTGGTATGAGACTATGTAAATCCTAACCAGTAGACTCATGCAAATAGGCCGTGTTAGGTCTCTTTGGACAGGGACCTTGGGGTCAGTGTAACCCATTGTTAGATACACTGGGTGACATGGTAGTGTAGCAAACAATGGTGCTCAATCTCTCAGTCTCTTTGCAACGTTAGCATACTTGAATTCTCTTCCATTTCGCCTGTTTGCCGAGCTTGGCTTCGCCGAGGTGTCACCTCGGCTGGTGATGAAACGTTTGCAAACAAATTGCCAAGCTCGGCGAACAGGCGAAATGGAATTCAGTTCACCCGATCTACGAGAACCAATTTTCAATACTTTATCAACACTTGAATTGTCTATTCTCACCTTAACGTTAATTTCAACATTCCAATCTTCACTAAACTCTTTTATCCAAATGGGTAGCCAAAAGACAATAACCGCAATCGCCGCAAGAAGTGCATGATTGATCATTGTAAGAACCGAAACTGAAACCTGAGTCACTTCTGAACTCTCGATGTCTCCAAGGCTTTTGACCGGACCCCGGCGACGCCTCTCAAATTTGAGCTCCCCTTCTGTTTCATCATCTGGATACGAAGTTTGCTAACTGCTTTTGTAATCTTGGTTCGTGTGTATATGATCATGTTGAGTTCAATCCCAATAAACCGAGTGCTTAGCCTCACTGTGTTTCATCAACTATCTTTCATCCCAAACTTGAAATCATGTTTGCGCATTTAACGTTGATAATACCCAAAGTTTTTCCCATACAACACTTCTTACGCATCTTACATCATTGTCACTTCTCAACGAGCAGTGTTCTCTGTGGCTGCTGCTCTTGGTTGAGAGAAATATGGAGGATGATCACTTTGGGATTGATCGCGAGTGCGCCAACGACAATCAATTCATTGGACCGTGTGAGTCAAATCGGGCACCATGTGGCACTAAAGGAAGCACTTAAACATGTCTCATTCAGACTTGTTGATTCTTAATTTTACGTTTATTAGTTTCACAATCGGTATGTTCGAAAGGCTGCAGCTGAAGTCAGATGATTCTGTTTGTGATTGCCGAACCCGGATCATTATGGGGAAGCAGTTCGTTTCACGAGTGATGAAAGATGGTTGGCTTTCCTACGCACGCCTCACGACTCAAAATATAAGTGTGACTTAGTTCGCTCATAAAACCGGTAGTTCACTTTATTCCATGAATTGAAATTGTTTCAATCTAAATCTTTATACTTTTATGTTAACTCTATGATGCATCTTTTGGATACGACAAACTCAGTATCCACTTTGACGATCAGTTTATTAAACTGAGGTTGAAATCCTTATCCGGAGTGTTTAATACATGCTATCGATCAGTTTGAAAGTCTCATTCATTTTCGGTCACGGCATTTAGAACACTCATTTTACTTTTTCGCTCATCCCGAAACTCACGCGCACACACAGATTGCTGATGGAATAGCTTCGCGAAATTGTCCACACGTGAGACAACTAGCCCTACAACATGCAGCACACTTGACCGTGCGGCGTATTCTCTTGGCCAGACAACAGCATCAACTTCAGAATCGAAAAGATTCGGACACGGCTCTGACCAAATCAGAAGAGTTTCGCCAAGATGAACAAAAGTTACCCGTTGCGAGCACTGAAGCATCAGACGAGCCAGACTGTTTGCGCATCATGTTCCGGCTGATCCAGCACCTATTTGATGATCCTGCAGATGCGGTGTTCATTGACGCTCTGGTAAGCTACACATAGTGGTGCGAGATCAGATATTGTGTTTGACGAATGTAAATATTTACCCATGGGGATTATTCAAATAATGGCATGTATATCCGGTTGAAGGAGTAACGGGGGTAAAATAGTCGGAAAACTAGTCATCACTAGTCTTGTTTTTATACTTACTTAAAACACAGGCGATGATACTTTTGGAAGTTTATGTGTTGGTTTTAGGAGATTAGTTGTTAACCCTTTCATTGAATGGTTCTTTACTACTCTGGTTAATTTCCATTTTTGTCTCTAATCTTCTCATCGAGTTGGCTGCTGTTTTGCCGTATCATTATCATCCGATACTGCTAATATGACGGTGTGTGGGAGGGGATGAGAGCAATCGCCTTATTCAGTGCATAAACGACCAGCCTCTAACGCTATACCATCTGGTGTGATAACCTACGCCGACTGTTGCACTCAAAGTGAAAGTTGACCTGTGTGATGTAGTCTGTAGATTCGAAAGACTTATTTCTATGACTGGTAGTTCAAGATTCCCAATAGAAAAGCATTGGGGCAATGAATTTCAAGTCAACTGACTTCCCCTATTCTGATTGACTGAAATCAGATTTACCATTGGTAGGATGTAAGAAAGTAACGGATGATGGAGTGTGAGGTTGGGGAAATAAATTTAGATGGTAAAACTCTTGCAACCGGATATTTTTGTGTTCCGTTCACAAGCTTAATCATTCTGAGACACTTTCGGAATTTGTTCTTTATTTAGGCAGAATTTTCACCTTGACCGAATGGTCGATTGAGGCCTATTGAACGAATAACTTGAATTTCCGGCCACAACATCTATCCACTCACAGGAAGACACAAAAGTAGCCTACTCAGATAATGGTTTATCCCATCCGTGGATGTCAGAAGTTTTCATATTCTCGGTGGTAATGTTTGTTACTTCTTTTCCAGAGGGCTTTCCGCGAACTTCTTGGTTATCTGGTATGCTTCAATACAGAAACTCAGACTGCGTTGCAACGGGCGATTGGCCCCATTATTCGTCGCCTGCTTCGTTTTACCGGTGGCGCAAGTGTCCTCTGGTCTTTGAGGCATCAGCCCCGTGTGTCTGTTCAGCCCACACCGGTGTTAATGCATCAACAATCGACGGACAGCAATCCGGATTCGACTGTTCTCAGTGTACCGACTTCAGGCCATTTGAACTTCGGGCTGTCCCGGAGCCAACTCAGTGGACCGGCCAGTGGCACGCACACACCGCATCTGCCCGATCCGAGCAGTCTTATTTGTGCGCACAATTTGGATTCAAGTAGCGAACTATCCCAGTCACACCAAGAACCGATTACACCACCAGCTAATTTACGAGATCGGGCTAATTTGGCATTAGCTACTTTGGTCGAGTTGGCCAAGGGTCAGATAGGGGCTTTGGCGATTGGTCGTGATGTTGGGTGTGGTAAGTGGTTTACCTGATTTCCTCGACGCATGATAGCGTGTTTGCTTTGGAATCAAATCAAGTATGTTGTGCCATTTATTAGAACCCAACAAGTAGAACTATTTTTGAGTATTATGCAACAAATGGTGGCATGGGAATGACGTGACAAACTCTATTTTGTGACATTTTCTCTCCCATTTACAACCTAGGATTTTTTCTATGATTGTTACCTGATTGAGCCGAATCGATGATATACTGTTCCAATTTGCTATCAATACTCATCACTTTCCGATCAAGTCAACGTCCTGCTATCCATCGTCACTTAGTTGTCCTTATTCATCCTCAAATAATGATGCTTACACCGGAGTCACTTTTCAGATAAGCGCTATCGTTGATGTTGCATGAAGGCCGGGTAAATTGACTGTTCAGCTACTGGATGCCACGTCTTACGTGCACTTCGGTGCTAATAAACTTCTAAATCCATCGTCAGTCAACTAACTAATTGTTGGTCATCCCACTACACCATCAGTACTCACTTTGAATACAATGTGGCGAACAAGACTTGTTTTCAGTCGTTCGTGTTCTCGGGTTAAAACATCACAATTTATATAACTTGGGTGTCAAAAATGTTATAGTTGCACGTACACAAAGAAAGAAACTTGACAAATATATATCTCCTACTTTTGATTTGGTATATATTCCGGATGAGTCGAGATTTGAAATAGACGAGTGCGAACGGGGCGGATAAAGAGGCACGGTAGACACAACGACTACATTTATTGTTTTGTGCACATAAAATGTGTGTGCATGTGAATGAGAATTCTCACTGCTTCAGCTACGGCTAGGGTGCGATGCTGTTGGTCACACATCCGGTAGAAAGCTCGAAACACCCAAGTCAAGTCAACCCAGTCAACAAAATGATAATATGGTAACTATCGTTGTGTAAAGGGCAAATGAATCGTGAAATCAAAAAGCAGGAAGCACTGCACAGCTGTTTCAACCTGTTTGGGTCTCATCAGCAATGGGGATCCATCGACCCAACTAGGGGTCGAACCCGGGACCTCACATACAGAATGCAAGCATACTAACCGAGTCGTAACCCTGGAAATTAATTCCACGATGCGCAAGGTGCGATGGCTGCATAAGGTCGCAAAATTGGTTGTGCTATATCATGTATAAGGAAAATGAAAAACGATCTAATCTGCTGCCTTGCGCCCAAGTGGGTAATATGCATGCGTTCTACCTGTCAAGTCCCGGATCAGATCCCTAGTTGGATCGATGGATTCGCTCTATTGATGAGGGCGAAACAACTGTACATTGTTTCTTATTTTTTTATTTTACGTTTCATTTGACCTTTTCGTGAAGGAAATCACTATATGATCAAACCAGATCTTCCACTACTATCAGTCAACTAAGCGAACTGATTCGAAAAGTTGTGAACAAATTGAGTTCGTAATTGACTTTTTCACCCCAGTGCGCAAACATGCCGGATGATGCTCACAAACTAGCTGAGTCAGGCGTCTGCTCGTGTGACTGGCGTATGCAGTTCAACAGGAACAAAGAAAAGAGTAAACGCAAAATGAAATAACATAAACAGGAGTTTTGTCTCTGAATTGCCGCCCGATGGCTGTTATGAACGCGAAAGTGATACGCCACTTCGCTGCGTAGAATGTTTGACTGACCTCGGTCGTCAAAGCTCGATTAACTATCTTCACCACAGTGTCATCCGTGAATGGCAGTCTCATACAAACCGACTTTTTTTAATCTAGCAGTTTTTCTCTCCTTTATCTGTTGTTCTATTATGCTGCCCAAGTATCCATTTTGTTGGGAAACCTGGCGTAATAACTCTAATTCATTTTGAATTATACCTGCGGAGAAGATTTTCTGTGCTCTGTTGGCGAAACACTGAATTAAGTTTCGTTTTCGTTTGAGTGGTACAAAACTTTGGAAATGAATATACTGTCCAAAGCGCATTGTTTTTCCGTAGGTTTCGCGATAGATTGACCCCTCTTCGCAAAGTTTTAGATAAACACAAAAAAATACGATTCAGTTTTCAGCTTCCTCCTCTGAAGTAAACTTAATATTTTGGTGCACACTGTTGAATGTTTTTATATCCCACTGGGATTACTATCCTCGTTCACGAAATGCAATGTATGATCGACATATCCTTTGCATTACTCGCCCAGTGTAGAGCCCATAGCCAAATCATCCTTCTGACGAGAGATAGTATCATCGAATTTAAACTGCACGTTTTGTTTAAAAATAGGGGAATTACTTTAAATCCTCTGTCGGTATATCGGTATTAATATCATGAATCTGGATATACTCCTCTAGGTACTCGATTGAAACATTAGTGAAACATTAGTTACGTCGAAGACTAACATTCCTAGACCGGTTCAATTCATTTCCTGATTGGTATCCACCAGATCACATGAGTCTCTAAACATATACTTCATTAGTTCCGTATTTTTTCCGTTCCAACTTGCTTACGACCCATTTAGCTAGTACATGTTAGGTTGAGTTAAACATGTCTATGATTGAACCAATTGGAACTTCGTTCTTGAGTGTTTCTGATAGTCCATAACTCCTCAGAACCCTCATTCTGTTTGGTCAGATAAGCTTGAATTCAATTGTCTCTATCACATCCTTCTGTCTGTCATCGTAAATTCTGGGACAACCTTTTTAAATCCGTTCTGTCTCGTCTTTTTATTCTTTTATTTTCTGGAATTTATCTTTATCATTGTTAGTATTCGTTATACCATCCTGCTTGTTCATTATTGGAATGTTTGACGTCCGGGTTTTGCTGTAAGTCTTTTAAACCTCTTAAATGTTCCTTTGTATCTGAGCTTTCAATCACATAGTGGTTCCCCTGAATTCTATAACATGTATTCATAAACGTTAGTTTCAGCTTCGTCGAGTTTGAACCAGAAGACGATTCAGTTCTAACAAATTGTCAAATTCCACTTCAAGGTCCAGTCCGTTGAGTGTTTGTCCAGTACAACAAAATGTTCGTCCTAATTCGACGACTTGTTCGCTACATTACGTTCTATTCAAAATTATTGATCACTTCATTGGTTTGTACCAAGGCAATTAATATCAAAGCACTTTTATTCTGATTCTATAGCTGCCGACTGTCTTCCTGTATGCGGACTTCATCATATGACACGATTTGTGCTGAGCTCTGCCAAGTTTCATGCTACACACTTAGTCGGCCGATTGACGCTGTTGGATAAGCTCATCCGCATGGATCAGACATTTGTAACCCCAGATCCAGCACAAGGTCTAACTTCGCAAAAGTCGTTCATATCACTACCAACCCTGGACCGTCTAGCTCGACGTCACCTATGCTCTAGTCTTGTGTTTGCTCGACGTCACCTGATTCCTCCGGTGTCTAATTCCGAAATAGTCAGTTGTTTTCCTCGAAACTATGAGCTTCAATCAAATGCAACAGACATAACCGGTCTTGCCTCCACCACCGGGAAACCGGAAATCAATCAGCTGGGTCTTGTTCCTAACTTGGACCGGGACGAAGCGTTGAAGAGTCTTTATAATACACAACTCAAAGCCAGTCGGGTAGTAAGTTTCCAAATCGTTGATGAAAGATGTTTTTAGGGTTTTCGAAGCATTTTTTATTCCAGGTACTCTTGTGTCATCGAGATCTGTGTCATTACCTAATAGGTAGTGTTAGCTTGAGCATATTTGTTAGGATTTGCCATTTTAGGTCATGTTCAATATCTACTGACGACTTTCTTGTTTCTTTTTTCAACACCTATTTCCCTGTTTCTGCATTCATGCATTTTCTTCAATCGGAAGTTGGAACAATATGAAAACGCAATCGTATCACTTTTGTGCCATATTCCATACATGCCCGAGAGGTTAATTTTTGTCATCCTTCTGCTCGATTGTTCCCTTTTTCATTCATGCACTATACTTGCCTGTGTGTGAACTAACTAGTCCAATGGTTCATTCTTTGCACTCCCAATATCCGGGTGTTCATGGAGTTTGGTAGACAGGATTGAATGGGTAGGACGTTGGGAATACTTTCTGAACTTTTTATGGAGTACCGTTTCTTTGCTGAGATGAAGCATCTATAGCTAGTTCTCACTGGAATGAGTAGTCAAATTCATTTTGTCAGTCCTAATAACACTCGGTTTGAAAGACTTTCAAATAAATTATTGGCCGGGATGGTTCCTAACACAACGTTTTTCATTCGATACCGAAATAAAATTGTGCACAACTCTAAACCTTTAATTACATCATATGCATACCCAAATAATTGTAGCAGCATATTAAGCTCGATTTATTGGTGAGGAATATTACATTGTTTTTTAATCTAGAGATGCACCTCAGCTACGCCAAAACAACGACTGTTCTATCCATCATATCTGCGATCTCAAAAATAAAAAAAATAAAAAGTTTTTCTTATCCCCATCAGAAAGTAATTGTCATTGTCTTCGTTGTTGGTTTTGCTTTGTGCTTGTAATGTTTTTTTCAACCCATGGTTATTTTGCGCACTATCTGTAAAAATTGTTACAGGTATATAACTGTCATTTGACCAGCGACAAACGCCCTGATACGTATTAACCCTTTACTCTTTTATGTGCCACTTTGTCCCCTGAACTGGAAATATCAAAACCAGGCTAGACGTGTGTTCCTGACCGCCGCTCGTGCTCTTCTGACCTATGAAAGTCGACATTTGTCTGACTGGAACGGAGGGCCCATCAAACCGATACAAACTAACTACGGGACTAGAGAGTTTTGCCCCCGGGAATTTGTTGAATTGGAAATCAATCGAACTGAGGCTCCATTAGCCGCTTGGCTCCGGAACAAACTAGCCTCTGTGCTGTATCCGAACCTCGTGCCCGGAATGGACACACCACTGATCCCGATTCGGATGGCAGTCAGTGAGGCACAGCCCAGTATTCCACCTAGGAATGCATACTGTCTGCGACAATCACAGCAATCACAGGCATTGCCATCGCCTCAACCACAACCACCACCACCACCACCACCACAACAACAACAACGGCAACAGCAATCACAACAGAAGCAGCAGCACTCAAACAGTCAGGAAAACATAACTGAATGCAACCATCAAAAGCGTGCGGCATTACCCAACTCGCAAACTCTTGGCAACATACACAGCTCTCCGCAACAATACGGTCAACAACAACAACCGTCACAACAACAACAACAACAACAGCAGCAGCAACAACAACAACAACTAGTGCTATCCAATCCGTCAACCTGTCCAAGTAGTCGAGCTCATTCTAACTCTCCGGTACTGAGAACCGCAGATTGTTCGCAATCCAGTCCACCAGTCCCTCCACCACGTCGTTTTTGCGGGTCTCACAAAATTCCCACTGAGTGTTCTCAGAATCTCATTTCGACAAGAAAGCTAAGCCTTGATCATGCCAAAAAATGTGAAGATTCGTTAAGACGAAACTCTTGGACACCGGAATGCACAGGCCAAGTGTGTCAAGATCGTGGTGTTCATGAAACGACGGGAACACATTGTGTGCGTATAGCCCTAGAACCGGCCTACGATCTGGTCGCCTTATCCGAATCGGGGAATTATAGTAGTGTAAGTGAGGGTGAGGGTGAAGATGAGGATGAGGTTCCGGTTGAAGAAGAGGCAAATTACGGAGCAGATGGAAAGCATCCTGTTACAGAACGATCAGACGCAGATGCACATCTATCCGAACCAACTTACGGAGGTCGATCTCTCGGATCAGAAGCTGAATTACAGACCGAGCAGGCCGCTGTGCTTCGGTCGGCCTTGCGACGTTGTTCTCGTTCACTCCGCCCCCTACTTCCAGTCCCCGCTTTGTCCATGGTAATGGAGGCTTTTCGTTCGACCAATCAAATTCCAAGCACAGATGAATATTACGAGTCCATTGATTGGATTCGTGGTCCGATTTTGGGACAAGGGGCTTTCTCACAATGTTATCAGGCTCGGGACACGCGAACTGGTCTGTTGATGGCTGTCAAACGAATCCGCCTTGGTGGGGGTTCTGTGTTTCCTATAGTCACCGATCAAGCTCCTTTAAATGCTTGCCGCACGGGGCATGTTTCTGCAGTTCAGGTTAGTCCGACGAGTACAAAACCCCGCAATCCAATCTATCCTGAATTATCCCCCGAGGCCGCTGCTCAGTTGATCGAGGTGCAGGCTGAGGTAAATATCATGCTGCAGTTGAATCACCCAAATGTGCTCCGTCTCTTTGGAGCGGTTTATTGTTCTAGACGAGCCGTGGTAGATTTATTTGTCGAGTGGATGCCAGGCGGTAGCGTGACCAGTCTTCTGAAACAATACGGACCATTTAATGAGTCAGTAACACTGGCCTATGGAATACAAGTTGTGCGCGGATTAGCCTACCTGCATCGGAACGGAATATTACATCGTGATCTAAAAGGTAGATATATTTCCCTTAGATGTATTTGCTTTGTGTTTCATGTCTACTCGACCAAAATAAATGATTGGAAACAGAATGCAAATAAAATACACCTATAAATGAGTAGTTGCTGCATGTAACTGAGACGGATGCATTGCTTGACCTGCTTTATCATAATCGGTTGTCTGTTTTTCAGTTTATATCATTCAGGGTGTATATTATGTCTTTTGTGTACATGTTTAATCTGTTGAGGGGTGGGTCGGTGGCTTATTGATGTGCCACTACAGTAAACTGAGATGTATTGGTACTGTGAATCAACTTCACTGCTCGAGTATGGAAATTGCTAAACCTAGCACGCGATACATAAAGCGATTTCCAATGAATGGTCAATGATTTGTGAAACAGATTCTACTGAAGACAATCAGATGGTACCGATTTCATATGTGCTCTACCAAAAAGCACTCTCATTTTTTATGTATGCTTCAATGTCGACTGAAAAAGGAGGCAGGGCGATCGAGCCCGTATTCATTCCAAATAGATGGCACCGTAATGTCGATTTATCACCTTTTGGTACTTTGAGATAAATCAGCTTCCAATCTGTCTCGTAAATATGAATTGTAATGGTGATTAAAACACTGTTTGCGAATTGTCCTCAGCATTTTGAGCGGGTTGATGAAGATGTTTGTCGATTTTATATTTGAAGCAATCCTTTCTTAAGGTCAATTTTGAGATCTTATACCTGCGGTTTTTGGCATAAGACGCCTTGTGCGTGCACCAGTCGAAATTGTCATGGTGCTGTATGCTTTTGTGTAGGGCGAAATCTGCCTGAAACAAACTGGTTTTGTCCGTGCCATTTGATCTCTTCGTGATTAGAGCTACGTTTACCCGATCCACCCAACCTCGTTTGTTTGTTTTACCATTCTTGTTACTGCTTCTCATCACATACTTTCTTTCACGCTTACGTTTGTTCCGGATCAAGGTGCAAATCTACTTGTGGACACAACGGGCAGTGTGGTTCGCATTTCCGATTTCGGGGCCTCGGCTCGTCTTAGTGGCGAGGAGAGTGTGACCGGTCAATTTCAAGGTCAGGTTATTGGGACATTCTCGTTCATGGCTCCAGAGGTGAGTGTAAAGAGTGAGAAAAGAATCAAACTTCATTTGTTTTTGTGGAAATATGTCTTACCCCTATTTGGATCGTGTTAATGATTCTCCAATTGCTTTGATCATAAAAATGCCATTAAGAAAGAATTCCAAATTTTTGCATGTGAATTGTTTTGGGACGAAATGAAAGTGACGCTAAAGGCGCCGAATAGCACCCTTTCGGTTACCGATAGAATTCCGAGCTGAATCAATCTGTTACATATAAATTGGGGCACATTGTGAGGTACGCTTGCGGTTTACCTACATTTAATTCAACCAAATTCTTACGAAAATTAAATTCGATACTCCTTGCATCTCACTTAACCAATGCGAGATTTTCCAACTTATTTCGCTCATTCGGAATATAAATGCAGACTTTCGATAGGAGTTGAACGGTATTCGTCTCTCTTGGTTGCTGCCCGGGTCGAATAAAGTGACCATCATTGAAGACGACATCTGAATTGGCAATTCTGATCAGTCTCGATATGAGCTCCTGAGCTTTACATTACCTGTCAGGGAGACAGCATGCTCCCTGAAAACTACTTTGTGCTGAGATAACCAAGCAGAACAAGGATAAGAGGACTCAACTGATCAGTCGGAACCGCCATCCAATCAGAACAGACGACAACAATTCAGTCAACCAATAGTTCGATATATGCATTCCCATGTTCTCCCTCTCTTCCCTATAAATAATCATGATTTTTGAGTAACAAACGAACTCCTACACGCTTCCAGCTGTGTTCCATTTCACAGCCTGCGCAGTTACTATCTTAACGAGAAAACGTTACCGAAGAGAATCCAGTATCGAGAAAATCCTGTGCGGTTACAACAGTATCACCCGCCTTCAATGCTAGGCGTCCGGAGTTCAAAACCCGGATGGGCCGGATGGATATGCTCCACTGATGAAGAACGAAGATCCAGTCTGGTCCTTCCGAAGTGTGTGCATTGTCTGAACATGAAGTTCAAAAGATGATCAATAACATTAATGTCACTTATCCCGCACTACTACTCACAATTAACCAGGCGTTCACTGTTAATAAATGGACGGGTGAAGGATTGGGATAGGAAATTCGAAACATTCAAGACCATGAGCAGATGGCGTTCCATCGATGGAGTGTATGGTTACCAGAGCCAATCTAATGCATCTCACGTGCATAAGATACACGTTGGTACTGGATCCGAAAGGACCAGAATGTAATAATGTGCTTTTAGCCAAATAAACCTGAGTAATATTGCGATAAACTTTGATCAATTGACATGGGGTATAGCTTATTCCATTGTTCCTCACGGCTCTCAAAAGCTTTAGGGAGGTTAAGTATGCATTTTTATGGAAGTCAAACATTGCTTGTTTACATCTTATTTCTGGTAATACGCATAACAAGGGTGTCGTTTACTATCTTGGGTGCTTACCGTGAAAGTTACCTATCTGTCTACGTGAATGGTTAGTCATATTAGCCTTACTTGGATGATTAACCCCTACCCTATCTCATTCTTTTGCGTTTTTTGTCGTGTTTTCCGTCATGATTAGTGATCTTGTCTTCCTCTCACAGTCATTATCTAAAAATCACTTTGGATGCAGTATGCACGTGTACAGTTGCAGCGAAATGACCATGGACACAATGAAAACCTATGTTTCTGACTTCTCTGTTCAATTTTTTGACGGAAACAGTGTTTTCAGTATCTATGAAGAGTTGAGCGCATGCTGCAGCAGTTCTGTCAATCTTACGTCATATTGCTGAAGCATGATCTTTAAATGCTTGAGATAAACACTGTCTATCGACTTACACGCGACGCTTTCTACATAGCGTTCCATGAGTCTGTTGATACAATCTGTTGAGCTTTGCTGAAATGAGAAGCTGAATTTTAGGTAATCTTGGTCAAGCATTGATGCAAATGCTTGACCTCCGTAGATTAAGGCGTCTGAAGAACGTGTTACGCACTTCATTTTAAGGGGAAACTCACCGAAGACATATGTTCGCCTACAGCCTGTGTTCTGTTCATTGAATTCTACTATAAAGCCATTTTAGGCATGCGTTCATCCAGCTAAGCGATTGTTTCTTCTTGAAATCCCAATTTCGTCTTGTTTACTAAATCAGCATGCATGTTTTGGGCGCACCTATTTTTATAGGCTGATAGAACAATGTTCCGACTACTTTACAAGGCCAAAGTTGTCCATCCTGTACCACTTGCATGGTTTGTCACAGTTGAAACGGTACTGTTCTCGCTGATTTGAGTTTCTCATAGATCTCAAGTTCTGTTGTTGCCACTCACGCGGTTGACGGAATTGCCAACCCCATATGTGTTGCGGAAGTTAGTTGATAAAACAGATGGCACATTCCAAGTCAGTAAACATATGACACGGTATATAAAAAACTGAAAACTACTATGAAATCTGACGGCCATATTTTCATGGTGTCCGAAAAACCAATAAAAATAAACGATAATTAGCTCCATGGTGGTTGGTTGGTGGTCCGGCAAGCATAAGCAGCCACAAAGTGATAGGGGAATTTCGATTGATTACCCATAGATAGTTCTTTCTATTTAGGTTTATGTTTTGAACATGGAAGCAACTTCGCAGACTAGCTTTGACTTGGTACGACTTAAATACACGGGCGTTTTCAAGAGATGGATAGATCTTGTCAAGTTTACGTTTTCAAGTGCATAGTACTTTGGTCCCATTTGCATCAACCTGAACGGACTGAGATTGTGTCTGGCAAGAACGTGTGTTTGGTCAGAGAATGCGTGTCCGAAAAATGTGAGGACAGAAAGCTCTACCGGTACATGTTGTCTATTGGTTCAGACCCGTAGTAGAAATAGTTGAGTAGGTCTATAATGCCAGGTAACTATTTGGCTTTCTACAAGATAATTTATGTTTCCTCAGGATACTCAAAGTTGCAATATCTCGACATCGTTTTGATAACTTAATCACTGCACGAAAAGCTTAGCTGTCCGGAAACTATAACATTATGCATTTATGGATGAAATTTGCGGATGCTCAGGTTGCCTGTTAAAAGTATATCTGAATTCCAATTTAAAAACGAGCATTAAGTTCCACGAAGAGAAGTGGTAAAACTCACCCGATTACTTTCTTGTTTATTTTCCGTTTTGCACTCTAGGTGCTTCGTGGTGAAACTTATGGTCGCGCATGTGATATTTGGTCCGTCGGATGTTGCTTATTGGAAATGCTGACCAGTAAACCACCTTGGCATGACTCACGCCTAACCAACCGATATGCGTTGATGTTCGCGGTAAGCATTTCCATAATTTTACTTCAATGACAAGTGCTCACCGTCACACACGAATCTAACCATGAATTGTTCTATTGTTCTATTTCTGTATATCAACAGGCAACCTATACTTAACCGCGACTCACCGTCGGGAAAATTGATTGCCTCATCGTTTATTTAATAAATACAAAGGGAAGTAAAAAGATTATTATAATAGCATTGTTATGATTATAACAATAATATAATAATTACGATAAGTATATAACTGCAATTTGATACCGATTATGATTGCAGTCAGTGATCGTTTGCCTGCCATTTTCCAAAATAAATTATTTTTGAAGTAAACTGTAACCGAGAGTTGATCACAACATTATGTTTTTTCTTCTTTGAATTAAATATAATAATAATCTTAAATAAAATACTTGATTAACCAATATCTATATAATGAATATTTCTTGTGTTTGGAACAGTGAAACGTCAATCAGCCAGAAAACGAAAATTTGCGGACAATCTATTTTACAACCGAGCTATAGTTACATGCCTTCCCGTTCACTCATTGTCGTACTGAATCACAAAAAGCAGAGTTTGATATTATTTTCAATCCCCATTTGCAGATCGCCACTTCCCGCTCACCTCCAACTTATCCAGAGGGCTTGGATCCAGACGTATTGGCAGTACTAAACGCCTGTTTTGCTCGTAACGCATCTGATCGACCGACGGCCTCCAAGCTGCTTAGCTTTCGTGCATTTTCACGGCTTACAGAACCATCAAGCGAGTCACGTGATGATGACAGATCCGGGTCAGGGCAGCGACGCAGTTCAGGATCAAACCGATGGGCTAGTATGATTCGTCGAGAAAATTCCTCCGACCGGAAAATTCGTGCTCATCCAACGGATGCCACAGGCAACGTGATAGTGAACAATACCGGATTACGGAGACAAGAAACTGCCAGGCAGCGTGTAAAACAATCGCTTCTCCAAACAACTCGAGTGGTCTGACCAGGTCATGAAACAAAAAAGTGGCCTTCATGTTTGCCTAAAACTTCATCGATTGTGTCCATTTGCCAAGGAATTATTTTATCCTGTTCAAGTATCAAAAGGACCCTTGTTGAACAGCAGTTTCTTGCGAAAACCCTCCCCGAACTCTGTTCATTTGTAGTCATCGTTCTTCGCATATGATCTATTTCCCTTCTTGTGTCTGTATTTGTTGCCAGAACCAACCACTTCGGGAGGAGTGATTGCTGTGAAGATCGAAGCATATCCAAACTGCAATTTGGGACGGTTGGTTTTTCTTCTCTTTCTTGATACTTTGTCCTTTGAATAGTCTTTTTTACCAAATTTTCTTCCACTATCCGGCAAAGATTTCCTTTGGCCTCGAATAAAAAAAACAGGTAATGCTCATTCGCTAGGTGCATCTTGTGCGTGCATGTGTGGGTCTGTAATGTTCGGATTTGCCAGTTTTCTTTTGCAATTGTTTGGTCGTTGATATAATTTGCCTTCTGCTCTTGCATTGGTGCAGAGGATGAGAGTGCTGTTCCTTTTTAGTATCTTTTTTCTACTTTGCATTACCGTGGCTTTTTCAAACAATATTTAGGCATATTATTATTGTGATTATTACTATATTTCTACTGAGCAGTGTGGCTTTTTCTCGTATGATGTTTGATCACACGGGACCTTTCATCATTCGGAAGTGGATGGGTACATTGGATTTTTTTACATGTGCCGAGTAGTTGATTTCCTGTGCTGAAAACTGCTTTTGAATGCATTCCCTTGGACAAAAAAATAGAAAAACAGCGATGGTTTTGAACATAAAGCATTTGTTGTTGTTTATAGCGAATTCGAATTTTCATCAACTGATCTGAGCTATAAATGAGAATAGCGCCGAGAATTCCGAGCTTATGTCTCGCGAAAGAAAACGCTCGTTGTACGAGTGGGTTTAGCCCAAACCCTCAATGAGTGAGATTCCATTGGATCATAAGCTCCCTCCAGCTTAATCACTGTTTCGAACCAAAAATCGCTTGTCTGCGTAACCTTGGTATTGACATCCATCTTTGATACCAAGTGTAACCATATAACTTGAATACAGACAAGGAACTAGCAATATTTCACCTAGTGCCAAGTACCAACTGGTTACCACAAATGCGATTTTTCACAATCTCGGAACTCTGATTTTAATCTAATCGACGAGACCGATTCCAGTTCAAAGCAAGTAGTTGCATCATTCTACCTAATGAGGCCCGTTTTCGTTGTTGTTCTATACGGGGATGGGATAATTTAATAAAAAGTTGTCCTATATGAATGGATTCAGACGACTTCTCTCTTTGTGCCTTCTGATTCAAGTTTGTGAGTTGTCAACCATATGATGAACTGACAATTCATCAGACACTACCACTTAATTGGATTAGCAATGAGTGTGACTGAAGTTGAGGAGAATGAGCCACGATCCAACGAATTGCGGTAACTTTATACCCGGTACTTCAAGGATTATTTATTTAGAATGCGTCTCAAAATCAGCCACCCCTTGTTCTAATTTTTATCAGCATTTGACTGTTTTGTGAAGATAAGTGGGTTTTAAGAACGAATTCATATAGCATTTTGAGAGTATACTACCCCTCCACATTTTTCTTCGAGGATAAACCTGTAGCTCTTCACATCCAGGTTCTACCTGCGGGACAACGAGCTGATCTCAGTGACTCTGGTTGGTGGTTGAGCAGGTTTGTACACGTTACTATTCTTCCGAGGATTCGCCACGGCATTTTGTTGTAGGGACGTCGCTTACCGGATGAAAAGCCATCACATCCTGCTGCGCTGAGTGATCAGGCGAAAATAACTAATTAGCCAACCCTTTCCAGATAATGGGGTCATCTTATCTTAATGCAAAAGCTATATAATTCCCGGGATCACTTTACATTGATAATCACATCAACTTTTGCAACTCTTTAAAGCAAAACTGGAAATTCCATGCAGGTTTAAACACAACCCATGACCAGTTGATGAGATCGAGTAGATGGGTTGACACAACACCTGGAAACTTTATATATATATATATATATATATATATATATATAACGTTGAAACATCAGTGGAGTATGTGTGAAAGCGTTGTTCGTCAGGGCTGTTTTCTCTCTCCTTTTCTATTGAACTGCTTTACATCTGAATCTGGATACATCTCTGTCCTCAGGCAAGGATAGTGAAATTGATTTGCCCACAGGTGACAAAATGTCTGATTTCAAGTATGCAGACGATATTGTATTGCTAAGTTCAGATCACGGTAAGTTGAAAGCTTTTCTGAATAGAGTGCTGGTCTTACTCTGTTCAGCATGCGTTTTACGCCTTCAAAGTGAGTTGGGTCATCTTTCCATCTCACAGCAAATGAGGTTAGTATTATTACTAGTGGACAGATTTTTTATATGAATAGCTGCATCTCAGATGGTGGACTATCACGGATGAAGTGTAAGCTCGCATACGGCGGACTCAGTTGGCATTTGCCAACTTGAGACATCTCTGGCGTCTTCGCGACATCCAGCTATCTGTGAAGAGTCTGGCATGTGCTGTAGCAGTTCGGCCTTTATTGCTTTACGGTGCATAGACTTGACTATTACGAAAACAAGATAAAGATAAATACTGTTGGTGGTCGAACACCACTGTCTATGCGGCATTGCACGAGTCTGGTTTGGAAACCGGACAAGCGATACTGAGGCAAGGTGCAGAGATCCAGGTAATCACGGTCACTCATTGGGGTAAGTTGTTGACCCCCCCGCATGTCACCAAACAGGTTTCCAAGGTGCAGGTTTTTAGCCGAGGCTGGTGATGGATGGAACTCTTTAAGGCTAGCCAGACTATGGCCTGGCATGAGGAGACTTTGTCACAAAGATCGCGTCAGGCTTTCTGAATGGGGACCTGGGGATTATTTTAATCGAGGGTTAGAGATACCGAGTGATAGGGGTGTGTCGTAAACAGTGAAGCTGGTGCACCTACGCATTGTCCTTGAAACCTCAGACTACTGGAATTCTCTGTGTTCATCAGAGCAGTATATCCAGTGTTTCATATACTATTTGATCCGAATTGGCAGTCATGAAATAGCAACCAAAATCGCCACACGAAAGTGCATGTTGAACTATTTGTTCAAACTGGACTGATGTGAATAGGAATGTTTTCGATCGGATTACACGTAAATCCTCTATAATATATATTCCCATTTAATTTCAAATCGTGAAACGCATAATACACCCTAGGGGTTTATTTTCAACAATTTACGGACTTCTTCAGTGTTTATGAATAAATAGCGAAAAAAAAACAAATAAAATGACGCTGTGGTAGGAGAAAAAATTCTAACGGCGGAGTCTTTCCTTAAAGTGGGTGACAAATGTCACAGTAGTAACCGAGGTATTACCTTGATACAGAATAACACTGTTTCTATGTGCGCATGTACGTGCACAACGGATTTGTAGCGAGTTCCGGGGGTACGACTTGGCTTTCATGATTTCGGAAGGCAGAGAGCACCTTTGGTCCCAGGTTATCCTATCAATAAACTTATCACAAGCTTGGGAACAAAGAAACGCGACCAAATTAGTTCTACCGATTCCAGTGTATCTGAAAAAATGTTTAAGATGAAAGTTTTTAACCTAAACCCAGGATAGGTATCGGAAAACAGTATAATCAACGTGAAAGGATGCAGGTGTTCACAAGTTTCAAAATAAGGTTCTGTGGAGCAACCAGTTTTCTTGTCCTGTATGCAAAAAAGGACAGACAGTCCTCGAACTGTTGTAAAAACGCGGTTGATTTGAGCAGACCAAGACAGATTATGGATAGGGATGACACCAACGTATTTAACAAAAACCGATTAGTGAATGCTTTGTCTATTAGGACGGGGAGTTACTTGTCCATGCCAGATAACGGGAGTCTGTTTTAGGACTAAAGGGAACATCAATGCACTTATTGATGCTAAGTACAAGAGATCGGGACACGGACCAGCCGTGAAGTTCATTCAGACTGTCCTAGGGAGGACAGAAACTGTTGTCCGGATGGGTAATTAATCACCAAATCGTCAATATATTTTTGGGCACTAAAGTTACAAGGACTAAAGAGATTCTGTATGTGCATAGCAAAGAAGGAATAAGGTGGAACCGTACTCCATAATCCACCAGTACCAATTATAATGGAAGACGACTGTGAAATGAATGTAAACCGAATCCTAAGGGAGGAATAGTTAATTAGAACATTGGAATTTTCGGGTGTCAGACCATACTCATAAAGACGTTCAGTAAGCACTCTTTGGTAGGGACAGCCGAAGGCGTTGGTATAATCAAGAAAAGACAAACGGGCGGTACCTGCGTTTTTGTTTACTACGGATGAAACGGAATGCACAACATTGACGACAGCGTCAAGTTTGGACGGAAGAGATTCGTAGAAAAAATTGAAGGGGTTTATGGAATTTACGTAGGGGTATCATGCGATGCAACAAAACATTTTCAAATGGTTTCAGCAACACAGATGTGCAGGCAATTGGGCAGTACTTTGACGATCCTTTCTTTGCGATTGGTTGTTGTGCGGACTGATCTCCAACAATCGGGGATCTTTTCAGATGACAAACACGTGCTAAAAAATCCAGCAAGCTAATTGGTCAATTCTTTGAAAAGATGCTAACAGATCAGGACCATGAGCGTTGTTGACCTTCAGTTCCCTAAAGACTTGGAGTGCATTGTCCGGAGAAACAGAGGTAGTTGGATCATGGGTTGAAAAGGTGGGAGGGAGGGATCCTGAGACAGATTCAGCAGCGAATTGATGACTTGTTTTCTCAGGGTTGGGACAAGAGATGATGCATGAGCCACAGAGTTTCGGCAAAGTAGACCAGACCTCAACATACACTCAGTTCGGACATCTTGCTTCAGTTCTACTTAGAGAAGACAACGTTTTTTATCATGCTGCATGACGTGGTCTCTTAAGGAGGCAAGGGGATAACCTATCAGTTTGAATATAAATATTTTCAACACGACAAC